CTTTTTAACTCCTAATACGAATGTTTGTGCCACGTGTGCAGGTGCCCATAGAAATCAGGAAGTCAGAAGCACCTCACCCTGGAGCTGGAGTCAACAGCAATTGTAAGCTGCCCAATGTGGGTGCTAGGAAGGGACTCTGGTCCTATGAAAGAGCAACAAGCACTCAACAGCAGAGCCATCTCTCCAGCCCCATAGATACCCATTTTTTTTTTTTTTTGGTTTTTCGAGACAGGGTTTCTCTGTGTAGTTTTGCGCCTTTCCTGGGACTCACTTGGTAGCCCAGGCTGGCCTCGAACTCACAGAGATCTGCCTGGCTCTGCCTCCCGAGTGCTGGGATTAAAGGCGTGCGCCACCACCGCCCGGCGATACCCATTTTTATGTGGAATATCCTGGGGGGGAGAGGGGGTTGTTGGCAGATTCTATTTTCTGGTTTTTCGAGGCAGGGTTTCTCTATGTAGCTTTGGTGCCTTTCCTGGAACTCGCTCTGTAGACCAGGCTGGCCTCGAACTCACAGAGATCCACCTGCCTCTGCCTCCCGAGTGCTGGGATTAAAGGCGTGCACCACCACCGCCCGGCCTTTTGTTTTGTTTTTGAGATCCATTTTCTCTGTGTTGCCCTGGCTGTCCTGGAACTCCCTCTATAGACCAGACAGACTTTGAACTGACAAAAATCCACCTGGCTCTGCCTCCCGAGTGCTGGGATTAAAGACTTGTGCCACCACTGATCAGAGGGCAAATACTTTTGAGTAGGAATTTTTGATTAGGTAAATAAAATAGGTTTTTGAGTAGGAAAACACATCAAGATATCAAAAAGGAAAGGAGAAAGCAATAAAATGGACTCCATGGAACAGAACCACTGAGAGCATCTCATTCCCACACATGCTGTTTCCTATACTTCCTTTTCATATCTTGGAAATAATTTTGCATCAACTCATAAGGAACTCCTGACCCATCATCTCCACTTTATAGCACCATGCCCTGGGGACCAGCCAGGACAGCAGCATTCCCCTCAAGGAACACTTGGGGCTTGGGATGGGGCTGAGCTGGTAGAGTGCTTGCTGAGCATGTAGACGCTCTCAGTTCCATCCCCAGCACCAAGTGAACTGGGTGTGCTGGTGCAAGCCTGTCCTGCAAGCCCGTCATCCAAGCAGTAGAGAGGAAGCAGATGGGGGAAGTCAAGGCCACCCTTTGCTCTGTGGTGAGTCTGAGGCCAACCTGAGCTACATGCGCCTTTAACCCAGCAATTGGGAGGCAGAGGCAGGTGGATCTTTGAGTTTGTAGCCAGCCTGGTCTACAGAGTGAGTTCCAGGACAGCTACAGCTATTACACAGAGATGCCCTGTCTCAAAAAAAAAAAAAAAAACTTGGTTTCTGGTTTCTTTGTTGCTTTTGCTACAATGCACAGTGGATAACTTGTTTGTTTACTATCTTCTTTGAGTTCTAAAGATGAATCCAGGGCCTTGAACAGACTAGTCAAGTACTCTTCCAATATCTTTCATTTTTCTGAGATAGTTGCACTGTGTAGCCCAGGCTATCCTTTGTACCTGTTTTATTTAAGGTCTTACTGTGCAGCCAAGTGTGGCCTGGAATTGACTATGTAGCTGGCTTTAAAATCAGAATCCTCCTGCCTCAGCCTCTCAAGTACGGGATCAGGTATGAACCCACCATGCTCAGCTGGCATTTGTCATTTCCTTGTACATTCTGTGAGCTGGGTTCCTAGAGGTGGAATTCCACACAGTCCTCGTTCTGGCAGACACTGCCAGTTGTCCACAAGAATGGTGTCCATCGTCAGGGAACAGGATGTGACTGACGAAACTTTCATCAGCACTGCCATCAAACAGTTTAATCTTCTCAGCCTAAAATGTCAAACATCAAAGCTATTGTAGGCAAGTGCCCGACCACTGAGCCACGTTCCTAGTTCACAGTGATTTCAGGCAGGCAGGCAAATCTCTGAGTTCAAGGTCAGCCAGGACAACATGAGTTCCAGGCCAGCTAACACTACACAGTGAGACCCAACCTTAAAAAAAAAAAGAAAGAAAAACAGGAGGACTAAGAAGATGGCTCTGTGGATAGAGAGCTTGGCACACAAGTGTGAGGACTCCCTAGACCCACGTGAAGGTAAAGCCAGGAGTTGTAGCACACATCCGTTACCCCAGGGCTCCTTTGGTGAGGGGAAGTGGGAGCAGGAGAATCCAGTTCATGGCCCACATACACAGTGGCAAAGGGCAGCAATGAAGAAGCCCCTGTTCTAGTTGGTAAAAAGCGAGGACTGATACCTGAGGTTGTCGTCTGACCTCCACACCTGCTCCATGGCCCATGCACACCCACACTCACACAGAGAAATGGGGGCTCAAAACGGAGAGGGTCCTTCAATGAGTGTACTTCTGTGGAATGCCTGCTTATATCCTTTGCTCCTTTTCCTAATTTTTTATTTGTAGATAATGTTTGCATATTATCTCTTTGTAACATGATTAGTGTTGAATTTACTTAACATTTTGTTGGGTGTGGTGATATATTGTGCACCTTAATAAAATTTGCCTGAAGATCAGAGAACAGAAGAAGCCACTAGATTAAACATAGAGGCCAGACAGTGGTGGCACACACTTTTAAACCCAGTATTTGGAAGTCAACACGCCTTTAATCCCAGCATTAGGAAGGTTGAGACAGGAAGTGATGGCAGGGTGGAGAAAGGTATATAAAGTGTGAGGAGATAGGAACTGAAGTCTTTTCAGGCTGACAAGTCCTAGAGGTAAGACGTGGTGGCTTGTTCCTTTCTCTCTCTGATCTTTCAGCATTTACCCCAGTATCAGGCTCCAGATTTTTTATTAAAAGACTAATTTAGGGGTTGGGAATTTAGCTCAGTGGTAGAGTGCTTGCCTAGCAAACACAAGGCCCTGGGTTCGGTCCTCAGCTCCGAGGAGAGAGAAAGAAAAGAAAAAAAAGACTTTTAGAATTCGGTGTACAGTTGGGGTCAGAGAGATGGTTCAAGTAGGTAAGGATGTTTGCCACCTGACTTGACTGACCATCTAAGTTCAATCCCCAGAGCCTATACGGTAGAAGGAGAGTACTGACTCACACAAGTCCTCTTACCTCTGTATTCAAGCTATTGCACACATGCACACACAATATATTAACAGTAAATGAATGTAAAAATAAAGATCTATTTTTTAAAACTATGTCAAGTGTGATGTGTAGCAGTTTCTTCCCAGAATGGAACATTTTGTCCAGCAGACAAGTAAACAGCTCAGTAGCTTCAGGAAGTCCCTGAAACTGACCAGATTCAATAGCCCATCTCTCCCAGGAGTAAGCAATCAAGACTGCTGGGGGTCACTCTCAGAAAAGCCAAGCTACAAAGATTCTCAGAGACCAGACCAGCTGCCTGAAGAGGATGAGGCCTACTGAGGCACCTGGGAAGGACAGCCTCCAACCTGTTGAGATGCCTGCTGGCTGTGCAGTGTGCTCCAGGTTGCCACTTTTCAGGAGCCGTCTACCCGCGCTGGTGTGGACACTTGGTGATGTGTCTGTTTTTATGTCATTTCTGATGTAAGTAACCCCTGTTACCCCCAATAAAACTCATTGGTTCAACAATCAGGCTTTGGAGCAACTGTTACTTTGGTCTGTGGAGGGCTCCCTTTCTGGCATGAGTAGATGTGTGTTGTGTCTTCCCCAGGAAAAGCCTGTGTCAGCATGGCATTGAATGCCCTGGAGCTGCAGGACATGGGTACTGGGAATCAAACTAAGGTCCTCTGTAAAAGCAGTGGGAAGTGGGAACTCCTAACTGCTGAGCCAGCTCTCATGCCGCCTGGAACTTTTCTTTTTTCTTTTTTTTTTTTTTTTTTTTTTTCTTTTTTTTTTTGAGACAGACTCACTATGTAGCCCTGGCTGGCCTAGAACTTAGTGTGTCGCCCACACTGGTCTCAAACTCCAAGAGTCCCATCTGCCAGGCTCCTAATAGCCAAAATCAACACTATTTCAATAAGTTTATTTACTACTTTTAAAATTTTTTTAGTAATAAATAAAAATGTTTGGTGGTGGCGCACATCTTTAACCCCAGCACTTGGGAGGCAGAGGCAGGCAGATCTCTGAGTTCCAGGACAGCCAGAGCTACACATAGAAACTACGTCTAAAAAAAATTTTTTTAGATTATTTTATGTCTATGAGTGCTTTGCCTGCTTGTATATCTGTGCACCATATGTGTGCCTGGAGCCCACAGAGGTCAGAAGAGGGTGTTGGATCTCCTGAAATGAGTTTCATACAGTTGGGATTAATCGTGAATGCTGGGAATTGAACCCTGGTCCTCTGCATGCAAGAACAACAGCTGAGGGCTGGAGAGATGGCTCAGTGGTTAAGAACACTTGACTGCTCTTCTAGAGGTCCTGAGTTCAGTTCCCATCAACCACATGGTGGCTCACAACCATCTGTAATGGGATCAAATTCCTTCTTCTGGTGTGCATGAAGACAGCACTCCTATACATAAAATACATGAATAAATCTTTTTTTAAAATTTCTTTGTTTTTTTGAGACAGGGTTTCTCTGCATAGGTTTTGGAGCCTGTCCTGGATCTCACTCTGTAGACCAGGCTGGCCTCGAACTCACAGAGATCCACCTGGCTCTGCCTCCGGAGTGCTGGGATTAAAGGCATGCACCACCACCACCCAGATACATGAATAAATCTTAAGGAAAAAAAAAAAAAAACAGCTGAGCCAACCCCCCACACACACAACACTTACATAACAATTTAGGCCCAGCAGGGTGGCACATGTCTTTAATCCCAGCTCTCATGAGAAACAGGCAGGCAGATCTCTGTGAGTTCCAGGCCAGCCAGGGCTGCATAGTAAGAACCTATCTCCAAAACAATAGTAACAGCAACAGAACAGTATAATTAAGAACCAAATTATTTCCCCAGGGCTCGAAGACCACCTTGGAAGCTGGGGCAGAGGGGTGTGAAGTGCTGTCCCCTGGACATGGCAGCACCTCTGCACACAGGCCCTCCCTGCACTGACCTTGAGATGCTAGTGTTCAAGGTTCTCCCCTACAAGGGCTTGGCTGCAGGCAGTCCTGTAGAGTATTTCCTTCATTAGTGATTGATTGAAGAGGGCCCAGCCCATTGTAGATGATGTACAACTCCTCCATGGTCTCTGCATCAGCTCCTGCCTCCAGGTTCCTGCCCTGTTTGAGTTCCTGTCCTGACTTCCTCCAGTGATGAACAGTGATCTGCAAGTGAAAGCCAAATAAACACTTTCCTCCTCAGTTTGCTTTTGGTCGTGGTGTTTCATCATATCAGTTCTAACCCTAAGACACTTTCCTGCTGCTGTCCTGCCAGGTTCATTATTTGGGACTGAAATTCCATCCTTTGGTCTCTGTATGTGCATGTGTACATGCATGTGTTTTAGGAAGGCACATGCAAGGGGATGGAGAGATGGCTCAGAGGATAAGAGCACTGGCTGCTCTTCCAGAAGACCTGGGTTCAATTCCCAGCACCCACATGGCAGCTCGCACCTGTCTGTAACTCCAGTTCCAGGGGATCCAACACCCTCACACAGACAGACATACATAAATTAATTTTTAAAAATGCACATGCAGGTCAAGTGGTGGTGGTGTACATCTTTAATCCCAGCACTCGAGAGGCAGAGACAGGTGGATCTCTATGAGTTCAAGGCTAACTTGGTCTACAAAGTGAGTCCTGGTATGGCCAGGGCTACACAGAGAAACCCAGTGGGGATGGGGGCAGGGTGGGGTGGGGGAGCACATTCAGGAGGCTGGAGAGATGACTCAGCAATTGAGAGCACTAGCTGCTCTTCAGAGGACCCGGGTTCAATTTTGATTTCCAGTGCCCACAGATCAGTTCACAACTGTCTATAACTCCAGTTCCGGATGATCCAATGCCCTCTTCTGACCTCCTCTGGCACCAGGCACACACAGTGCACAGACATATGCAAGCAAAACACCCATACACATAAAGGATGCACATGCAGGCTGGAGAGGTGACTGAGCAGTTAAGAGCACTGGCTGCTCCTCCAGAAGACCTGGGTTCAATTCCCTGTACCCACATGGAGACTCAAACTGTCTGTAACTCTAGTCCCAGGGGATCTGATGACACTTTTTGGCCTCCATGGACACTAAGCATGTGCATGATGCACAGAACTATACTCAGGCAAAACACACATAAAATAAAAAGAAGCAGCAGCCAGTTGCGGGGGCATACACCTTTAGTTCCAGCACAAAGGAGGTAGAGGCAGGCAGATCTCTATGAGATTGAGGCCACTCTGGTCTACATAGTGAGTTCCAGGCCAGCCAGGGATACTGAGTAAGACCCTGTCTCATGACACTGCACATGTGTGAGCATTCTTACCTCTAAGAGGAATTCCAGATGTCTAGCCCAGATGCAAGCCTTGTAGGGGAACCTAGAAGGCAAGGATAAGAACAAGATGCCCATCTGCAGAAGAGCGGCCAGCACCTAGGGACAGGGACCTGGGAAGACCTTGCCTGCCCTGGCCAGGAAGAGTGGCCTCCAAGAAACACTAACACAGGAAAAAGGAAAGTTTCACCTCCACAGTTGCCATCTGGGTCACATGGGGACCTCTTGACACCTTTATTGGGGTGATTTACAGGACAGGGTCAGGCAGAGGTCTGCCTGCAACAGCCCTCACGCCCAGGCCCTGAAGACTGACAGAAAATGCCTTTGCAGGCTGATTCAGGCCTGGCTCCTTCACTGGGTCCCATGGCTGCTTCATACCCCTCAAGGAGAGAACCCCAAGTGAGCACAGAGAGGAAGAGAACCTGGCAGCTCCTGTGCAGTTACTCCACACCCTGGGGTGCCAACAGTCAAGGGACTTGAGGCTTTGCCTCCCAGGCACCCCAGGGAAGATAGCTTTTCGTCAGGACAGCTTGGGCAGCTGTATGTCAGGAGTGCTGGCACTCCTGGCTCCTGGAATGACAAAAGCCAAGCTGTCATGTCACAACAGGGGACCACTTGCTCTGGTGCCAAGACCCTACCAGCACTGCCACTGGAGAGTCTCACCGTGTCCAAGGATCCTGTACAGCACTGCCTATGGTAGCCAGAGCCAATCACCAAAATGTCCAGAGCTGAGGCCACCAGCATGGGGACCACACCACTGCAGAACTCTGAAGGTGTTGGCCAGAACCAGAAGCCCGGGGTTCGGTGGAGAAGGACCTAGAGAGACAGTGTTTAAGCCTGGTGCTACAGCCTGCATTTCCAACCAGGGGCCAGATACCTTGGTGTATGTGTGTACACTAGCATACATGTGCGTGATGCACAGACACCTTTGCAGTGCTGAAACTCACATGTGCCCAAGACTGTACCACACTCATACACTCCTTTTCAAAACTGGAGCCCCTTAGGAAGTCCCACACCACCAGTTTCTGGCTTGTGCCAGTATAACTTTGGGAAGGGAGATTTCCCATCAGGCACCTCTGCCTGGCTGGTTGGTGGTCTACAGCAGAATATGAGTGCTAGGGCCAGGCCAGAGTCAGTGTCCCAGTTCCAGGGGACTTCTGCAGGGAACACCTTGATACCCTTAGGGGCTGGGGAGGGCGGAAACAGGCTCTCATGTATCCAGGGCTGGTCTTGGACTCCCTAGCTGAAGCTGGCTTTGAAATGCTGATCCTCCAGCCTCCACCTCCTGAGTCCTGGCAACAGGCCAGCACCACCAGCCACCACACCCGGATCCCCTGTTCCCTCCAGAAATGGTTCTACCAACAGCGATACAGACTTCCAAAAGAAGAGTGAGTTGGACCTAATTTGGCTGGACCCCAGAAGCAGCAATGAGAAGCCCTGGCAGGTCTAATGAGCTAGTTCAGCAAGCTGGCACCGGGCTTTTCTCCTAGTGGTGGGAAGAAACGCCAGCCATTGCTGGCTTCAGGAAGCCAGGAAAAGAGGGACTGGGAGCGGGGAGGGCTTCGTCACCACCGAATGTTACACTCTGGAGCTTGTGCGCTTAGAAAGGGGGATCTCCCCAGACACAAGCCTCTGCAACCGGGCTGGCTTTCTTTTTCTGAAAGGGTCTCCGCCCTGGACACTAAGAAAGGCTGTGGAGGTTAGTACAGTTTCATCCTCCCCCACCCCCACCCCCCGCCCCAGCAGGGCCCCTGGCGTTGTCTTGGGGATCATACTGGAGTGATCTCCATGTTAAGTGATTGGAGAACCCGCAGGAGAGCAGCCAAAGGCTTTGCCATGTCCCCTTCGGCCCCAAACCCCCGCCTGGAGAGGATGCAGGCCGAGGGGCTGTCCTGGTCTGTGCACTTCCGCTTCCGGGATGGCATCCCGATTTCTCTCGGCCAAGCTGGTCTTGCCCAACTCTCCAGCAGCCGAGCCTCCCCTTGCCCACAGCTACTGAGCCAGCTGAGCACGTGACCCAATCAAGCCCGACGGGAAGCCACCTTGGGTTCCTCAGGCGGTCACTGGGTTACTCTCCTCCCAGAGTTTGCAGGAGTGCCACCACCCAGGGCCCTCCCAGGAACGCAGCACCCAGGGACACGGAGTGGGGCCCTGGACAAGACAGAGGCCGAGTACCACTTTTGGAGTTCAAGACCCGATTCTGCCCCACGCTGCAGCTTTTCCTGTTTAGGAGCCACGGCATTTCTTTGCTTCAGCCAAGTTGCCCTGAATCGGCTGTCACTTGCCGCTCAGGCTCCCGCCCGAGGCTGTAGGAAATACACCTGGATGCCAAAATCCAGCTCGGCAGGATCTGGCAGGTCCGGGGCTCTGCAAAGTGCCTCTGTCGGGAGTGCAGACACCCTCTTCAGGCCTGGCGATCGCGACTTCACACAGGGAAGCCCTAACCATGAGTCTGGTGTTCAGCTCCTGCCTATGACCCATCTGTCAGGCTCCTGGATGACAGAGTCACAAAGCCACACCTTAAGTCTCACCTGTGGTTGGCACCCCTTAGTTCCTCAGAGGGGATTACAGGTTGAGTACCGAAGGCTATGAGCTCTGGCTCCCCACCCCCACTCCAGACTCCCAGGCAGGAATGCTCCGCGGCTCAGGGGTGGGCTAGGTCAAGACTAGAAACCTGACACCATCCTGCCCAGCCTTGGGGCCACAGCCAGCCTGCTGTTGCTGCAGCGCCGGCAGGCCCACACTCCATTCTTTCTCCACCCACCCCACCCGCAAGCTCCCTACCTTTAGAAGCCTGCCGGGCAGGCATTTCTCTGCCTGCTCCCTTTGTGACTTCATAAAAATACGATTAATTGTCAATGGATAAAAACCAGATTTCCCAGAAACCCGACTGCAAGTTGGCTTCTCTTGGAAAATCATACAGTTTGGTCGGCTAGGGCCACAGGCCCAGAGAGGCCTGTCTGAGGCAGTTGCCCTGAGTGCTGCCTCTGGCAGAGGCTCAGAGGGTCTGCTCCCGGGAACTGTCCCACCAAGCAGCTCCTTTTCTCACAAATGCCCCCAAACGGCTGATCTACCCTATGACAAGCCGGCCTCAGACACTGCAGGGACAGGGGTTTCTGAATCTGTACTAAATTGAGCCCGGACCCCAGGGCCTTTGCTGTCTCCCACACCTTCCCCAGCCCGCCTCGCCCATTCGTGTATCTCATTCTAGGGAAGCCCCGCCCATGATCCTGATCACAGCTGCTTTCTGTACAGGCCAGGGCCAGCAGCCCTGTCTGCAAAGGGCCAGACAGTCGGTATGCTAAGCCTTGTAGGCCATGTGGTTGCGGTCCCAACTGCTGAACTCTGCCCTTGTGATCCCAAAGCTGCCTTAGTCAATCCATAAACATAGGCACAGCTGGAGCTGGGCGTGACAGCACACGCCTGGAATCCTAGCACTCAAGAGCCCAAGGATTATGAATTTGAGGCCAACCTGGGCTACATAGTGAGGTCTTGTCTCCAAAGGCATGGCAGTGTCCCTATAAAACTTTATTTACAAGAACAGTGCTGGGCTAGACTTGGTCCCAGAGCTCTGTCCTCCTAAACAGATGGCCACACCCTCCCCCAGCTTCCAGACAAGAGAGCACTGCATTGTGGGTCCCAGCCACAACTGCCAGAAGGGGCGTGGGGGAGAGGCTGTCTTGCCAATTGGCCTTAGGCCTGAATGTAATCTGCTCAGAGGCCCTGACCATTGTAGTCCCATGTAGTCTGACTCAGTGTGACAGGCAGGAAGCCCAGGTCAATGCCAGCATCCTCCACTCTGAAGCCCTCTCAGGCCTGGTCTGAGATCTCCAGGATCTCTCCCAAGGACCAGCAGCATCCTCCCCACAGACCCTGGATCAATCCGCAGGGGTTGAGTCCCACCCTCAAGAGCTGAAGTGCCAAACACCAGGGTCCCATGCCCCGGCTCACCAGGCACCCTAAACCAGGAAGCTTGAGAGAGGGCCAGCTCGCTATCAGACAACTCCACTGACTCTGTGCTGGATAGTTCTCCCCCATCACCGAGCTCTCCTTCAGCTAGAGGGTCACAGCCTCCGAGCCTCAGTTCCCTCCCGGGCAGATGAGGGTAATACCTTCACACTTACCAAGCCTGCTTGGAGTACTGTAGCAATGTTGGAGGTGCCACAGCCACCTTGAGACCAGGGGGACAAACACCACACACCAAAGAGAATAGAAGAGCCAGAGTATGTGTCCCTTGCTATTTCCTTAAGAAGCCCAGACAACTCCAATGGCCACCTCAGTGCTTTGTGTCGCGGGAGGAAAAACAGAACACAGCTGGTCAAACCACATAGAGGGGTTTCTGTCCTGCCTGACTCTTCAGGGCCTGACGGTAATGTTACCAGGACTTTTGTCTCGATGAGTCACCAAGGCCACACAGACCGCCATGGCTCAGGCACAGCACTTGACCTGGGCTGTGGGGCAAGGTCATGGAGGAGGGTCTCCAGCAGTGAGAATCCTCATGGGTCTTCAAAATGGCCATGCAACCCGATGACCTGAGTTTGGTCCCTAGAACTCACAGAAAGGTAGAGAGGTAAGAACTGACCCATCAAATTGTCCTTTGACCTCCACACAAGCACTGTGTTGCACATGGGCACATCATGTGCATGCTTGAGTGCTCGAGCATACACACACACACACACACACACACACACACACACACACACACACACACGCACACACGCTCTCACTCACACACACCATGTACATGAACAAATCCCAGCTGTCAGGGGGCAGAGGCAGGAGGATCATGAGTTTAAAAGGAGCCTGAGCTACACAGAGATCCCATTCCCCCAAACTGAGGGCTGGGGGTATGGCTCAGTGGTAGAGAGCTATGCAGCCGCAAAGCCCTGGGTTTTACCCCCAAAACAAAACAAACACTGAAGAGTCCAACGGGATCCAGAGCCTGACTGTCCTGCTCCTTCAAGTACTGGCTTCCAGGGAGCAGAAGAGAGAGAGGTGGGGGTGGGAAGGATAACCCGGGAAACAGCTCCTCAGCCACCCGCCGCCCACTTCGTCTGCTCCATCGCTGTGATGGGGGCCGGTCTTTCTCTTCAGTTCTCCTAATCTAGCCAGGAGGAAAAGGCCAGAGAAGTGCTGAAGGCGCACACTGTACAGCATGTTCAAACTGCAGTCCTCACAGGGGGATCTCCAGTGAAGATCAGAGACGCCACCAGAGGCCGGAGGAGGCGAAGACCTGTTTTGTTCCTAATACAATTAACAAATGACGGACAGCAATGTGGTGTCCTGGAGGAGAGACAGGCCCAGGGAAGGCAGCAACATCCATCCACCTCCCTGAGGTGGAGCTGCTCTCACTGAGGGATCCTGGGTGATATCTCAACCGAGCACTCTGCCCTACAGTTAATAGGATAGTCAATGACAACCCAGGGGACACTGCGTGGCCACAGCAAAAAAGTTTCTCTAATTCTAAATGTATTTAAAAAAAGGGGGGGGTTGGGGATTTAGCTCAGTGGTAGAGCACTTGCCAAGCAAGCGCAAGGCCCTGGGTTCGGTCCTCAGCTCTGGGGAAAAAAAAAAAAAAGACTCCCACCCTCAAAAATAAAATAAAATAAAAACAGGCTGGAGAGATGGCTCAGAGGGTTAGAGCATTTGCTACTCTTGCAGAGGACACAGCTGGGCTCCCAGCACTCAGGTGGTGGCTCACGACCGTCTGTAACTCCAGGTTGAGGAGCAGCAACACCCTCTTCTCCTCAGGTACCAGGCATGCACATAGTATGCATGCAAGCATACATGCAGGCAACACAATCATACACATAAAGTAAAATAAATCTTAAAAACAAAATAGGTATACTGGCTAGTTCTACGTCAACTTGACACAAGCCAGAGTCATCTTCGAGGAGGCTACCTTGATTGAGGAAACGCCTCCATAAGATCCAGCTGTACAAAAGCCTGTGGGGAATTTTGTTAACGAGTGATTGATTAGGGAGGGTTCAGCCCGTTGTGAGTGGTGCTCGTCCTGGGCTGGTGGGGGTGAGGAGAAAGGTCAGCTGTGGGAGGGACAGGTAGGCTTCATCTCCCTCTGCAACGGAGGAGCTTGAGGCCTGGGCTATCTCTGGGTCATAACCACCGCTGACTGAACCAGCGGAGCTGCATCCGAATCCAGTCCCGCCTGGCTGCACCAACCTGGAGCCCAGTGGGGTTGGGATGGCCTTTCTCTAGGACCCAGAAGTCCCCTCAGCACAAAGGGGCCCCTGCCTGCCACTTACAGACTGTGCCTAGCAGCCTTGGCTGGCACCTGTAGTCCTGGCACTCGGGAAGTGGATGCAGGAGGATCAGGAGTTCAAAGCCATCCTTAGCTACATAATGAGTTTTTGGCCAGCCTGGGCTACATAAAACTGTTAAAATGAATAAATAAACAAAGAAAGAAAAAAACTAAGATGGTTCCCAACTCTGAAAAACTGATAGGTTCAAATAACACACCAGTGCCAATCTCCATTCAAAAGCTGAAGCTGAGAGAGCATGCTGCCAAGTGCCTGTCATCCCGGCACTCAGAGGCAGGACAAAGTTTCAAATCAGTATGAGCTGGCTACATAGTGAGTCCAAGGATAGCCCAGGCTATGCAGGAAGCTAAAACAGAGGCCCAGCTTTCAGCCACAGGAGTGAACACATCAGCCCTATACTCCTGAGGGGTGCAGAGAACAGGTCAGCAACACCTTTCCAGCATGCCTGTCTACCCAGCATGCCTCAGTCTACCTACCTGACTAACTTGCCTTCAGGCCCTGTGGAGCCTGAGGGCCTGGAGGTGCCGGTGGCTGTTCCCTGAGGCTGTTGTTCGCTGGCTGGAGGCCTACACTCCTGGCACCTGACTTGAGCCCCAAGGGTGTGGGAAGGGACTGGAGTCATGTCACATGGTGTCTGCTAGGTACACAGAGTCCAAGAGCTAGGAACTGCAACACAGACATGCTTTTAATAGGTGCGAGCAGCTTAGGAAGGCTGGGACTACACGGCTGCTACGTGGCTGGGCTGGAATTCAAACTGGGCTCTTCTTGGGCCCTGTGTGGTGGCATGCGCCTTTAATCCCAGCACTCAGGAGGCAGAGGCAGGCAGATCTCTTTTTCAGGATCCTAGTTTACATAGTTAGTTCCAGGACAGCCAAGGCACACATAAAGAGATCTTGTCTCCAAAAAGGAAAATTAAAACAAAAACAAGCCGGGCGGTGGTGGCGCACGCCTTTAAACCCAGCACTTGGGAGGCAGAGCCAGGTGGATCTCTGTGAGTTCGAGGCCAGCCTGGTCTACTGAGCGAGATCCAGGAAAGGCGCAAAGCTGCACAGAGAAACCCTGTCTCAGAAAAACTAAAAAAAAAAAAAAAAAAAAAAACAACAAAATTGGGCTCTCCTGTGCTCTGGGCCTGTCTTCCCTTCAAAGACCACACCCCATTGTCTGGCTTGGGTCGCTGGTATCTCTGGGGGCCTCCAATCCTTCTAAATTCCCTGACAGCTCTAGGCAGGTCCCTTCCCATTCTGTGAGCCTCAGAGCCTGCCTGATGATACTTCTTGCCCTGCAGCCACAGGAGCAGATGAGCAGGAAGGCCACTGAGGGTTCCTAAGCATTGAGCCCAGCAGCCTGCATACACAGGTACCATCTCATCAGGCAGTTCTGGAAAGTTCCTAGATGCCCAGAAGCTCTGCAGAACACTGGCCACTATGCACGGGGATAGCGAGGTCTAGACTTCTGTGGCTTAGCAGTACGTTATTCAACTTGGGGGTCACAACTTGTACCCCAAGTCAGGTCCAGCTACCTGTTCTCACTAAGCCAATTTAAAGAGCCAAACTTAAAAGGGGAGCAGAAGGCATTTATTCAGTGTGGCCAGGTTGGGAGGAGGGCAGAGAGATCCAGCAAAGGTCCCACAGTTTACCGCTCCTGAAGTGAGGTCAAAGTTTAAAGAGGAGCCAGGGATTCCCATAGCTAAGCAGACCAGGTGTGTGTGGTCTTAGCAGAGGTGTGATCCCACCCACCACAGACCTGTTGGTGTCTGGTCTTCAGCCTCATCCCAAGGAACTGTGTGAAATCTCTTTCCAAGAGACAAGTCTCCCTTCTGGCTGGCACCTTTTTCTTCTCTCAGCATGGGATTCCTGGGGAAATTTCCATTTCTCTGGGTCCTTTGTTTAATAGTCGGATAGACTGAGAGACACAAGTCGGCCGGTGTCGGAGGGTGAGGCTGACTGGCAGGCACAAGGCCCAGGCTTCCCTTCCCCTCCATCCGCCTGGGGCTAAGCCCAAGGGTCCAGCCCCGGACCCCAGTGAAAAGGTGTTCTGAGAGCGCAAAGAGAGGAAGAATCAAGGAAGGGGGTCCAGGGACTACCCCGAGTCCCCTGGGCTCCCCAGGCACCCAGCCCCTCCCAGTGCAAGCCCAGGCTGGTCTCCACAGCTCACTGCCTTGTCCCCAGTGAGCAGGCTGTCTACAAGCTCTTCCGTCAGTTAGGCTCTGACCCTCCCTCCTACCTCCAGCACTTTGGAGGTAAACAGTGATGTCATTCACCCTCTCCACGGCTAAGTGACCTGTGGGCTTACCTTACAGGAGGGCTGGGTTAGATGCCTCCAGGCCCAGCATTCCACCCTCAGATCCCCCACCTGACAACACCTGCCCCCAGCCAGACTCATGGACTCCACCTGCCAACGTCCAGCAGACTGAAATCGCCCAGCAGCTTGGGAGAATCTCCAGGGAGACCAATGAGACACAGAGCCAGTCCCAGCAGACGCCAGGCTGCGGGCTCCATTTATAGAACAGTTGGAAATGGTGACATTGTGGAAATGGAGGGCTGGTGGGGGTGGCAGAGTGGAGCAAGGCGAGGGGAGTCTAGAAGTTTGTCTCAGAGCTCCCTCTGAACATCTTGACTCCGGGGGTTAAAAAGCGAACCAAGGAAGATGGCTTAGGATCCCAGCATTGCGGAGGTGGAGGCAGGAGGACAAGACTTCAAGGGCATTGTCAACTGCATAGGGAACCTGAGGCCAGCCTGGGCTACATGAGGCCCTGTCTCAAAGCACCCAAACCTGGTACAACTACTGCAGATGTGAAGCAGACTGCCTGGGAGGTTGACCCATGGGTGGGGGATGGGAGGTGGGGTGCAGAGGTCAGGGCCAGCGGCATTCACAAAGAAAGCCAGTCAAACGGGAGACCCAGGAGACTGGCAGGTTGGATGAGCATACAGCATGAGGCTGGGCGCCTGCACAGCCTGATGTACTGGGTCTGCTGCAGGGACCAGGTCTCGCTAGGTAGATCAAGCTGACCTAGAACCCACTACATAGCCCAGGCTAGCCTTGAACTCATGATCTTCCTGCAGCAGCCTTCCAAGAGCTGGGATTCATCCATGAGCCACTGCACCCAGGTTCCCAGGCTCCCTTCAAATTGCATGCAGATCTGAAATTTTCCACAACCATGTCCAGGCCACCTCCACGTCCCCAGCTACCTCCATGTCCCCAGCCACCTCCGTGTCCCCAGCCCACCTCCGTGTCCCCAGCCCACCTTGCTCAAAGCCCCTCCTCTCACTTGGACACCCAGTGTCTGCCCTCGGTGCCAGTGAGGCCCCAGCTGTCTGTCAGCACGCAGGGCAGAGGGTGCCTCAGGACCCCAAAGACAGGTCTTCACAGTTACCAAAGGCGGCTCCTTTTGCTCGCCCAGAGCCTCTGTCCCTTGACTCTTCTCAGACGCCCTCCCAGTCACCACTCTGCCTCCCGACATACCTGTGTCCTTCCCCCTGGTGCTTGCCCCCCTCAACACAAAGCACGTGACTCTGGACTGTCAGCTGTCCTAGGAGGCCCACCCCACCCTGCACCACAGAGTCTGAAAAAAGCCTCTGGTGAATGAATGAATGAATGAATGAATGAATGAATGACTATCTGGGGATGAAAAGTTAAGCCTGGCCCAGGGGTCAGGGAAGGTAGGACTAAGGGAATTCAAGAATGTGGGGAGTGTGTCAGACAGGGTGGCCTGCTGGGGGGTGTCTCCAGACTCATCTCTCACTATGGATGCTCTCATTAGAAGCTGAGATGGGGAGTTGGTTGTGGAGAACATTGCTGGGGCTGCTCAGGAGCGCCAACCATCAGCCCAAACCATGCTATGTGGCCCTCGGAACGAGGGCAGGAATGGAGACTCGGGTCGGTCTCAGAGGACTTCAGATCTGCACCTTGGCACCCACACGTGGAGCGGTTGGCACCATGAGTGGGGCCTCTTCACCCACCTCAGTGAACTGTGTGTCCCACTACCAAGACCTTCCACATAGCAGCTGACTCCGTGTGTGTGTGTGTGTGTGTGTGTGTGTGTGTGTGTGTGTGTGTGTGTGTAACAACTTCAGTCAGTTCCTTCCTTCCACCATGTGGACCCATGGGGATCAAACAGCCCCCACAGACTTGGTGACAAGCACCTTTACCCACTGAGCCCTCCCCTCGACCCGGTGGCCCCCTTTCTAGCTGTGTGGCTTCGGCCAAGTTACCAACCTCGGTCTCTAGTCTCAGACCCGGACGTCGGGGCTGACGACGGCACCTGCCTCACTGAATACCCACTCAACTCAAGGTGCTTCGAAGGCAGCGCTCGGTGAATGCTGCTAATTTCATTACTGTTACAGCCCCAGAGTTCATATTCACTTTAAACGCCGTCATTAGCCTGTGAACAGAACAGGTGTATAGTTTTATGATGTTGCATTTTTAGAATTAAAATGAAGGAGAGCACTTAGACTAAATCACAGTTGTGGGGTTTGGTTCGCGCACAGCTTCAAGCTGTAATTTACAAGGTGCCTCAGAAGGAGCCGCTCTGGGACATCTCTGGGCTGTTTCAGAGGCCTGGCTCCATCAGTAGGAAGGCCTGGCTTACAGTAGGTGCTGGCCAGACGGCGGGAGCCGCAGCAGGCCACCTAGTCATGCCAGCCGCCTCCTTCTCCCTGCGGTCTCCATTTCTCCTGAGGCACTGACTGACCACTGTCACCAGGGCTCCCCCTGAAAGTCCCCAGAATACACCCAAAGGACACTGCTCGGGCCCTCTTCAGCCGGGTGCACACTGTGGAAGAATAGTCAGATGTGAGCATGGAAGGGGCGGGGTGGAGGCTGGGGACCTTCGGTACTCAACCCAGGTCACAGTGCACACCCTGGGGTCTGGACCTGCCCTTGCTTCTCATTCCGTTCAATCTCCGGGGGCTCCCGGGTTAATTATTAGGAATTTCCAAGTTACAGGAACTTTGGCCCTGACTCTGGGCCTGGTGAAGGGACAAAGGACCTGCCAGAACAGACACCTAGAGAAACCCCTGCTAATGACAAATGGTTTATTTTCCCAGTAGGGAATTAAGCATGAACAGGAAGAGCTCAAGCACCTCTGGAGCACCAAAGGAGCAGAGCTCTTCCAGGCCCCACCTGACCCATGTTGCATATCACTTCCCAGGGCCCGCCCGAGCCAGCAGGATCTTCCCACCCTCCCTCTGCCTGGCTGGGCCTCACTAGTGAGTGCCCCAGGAGCCTTTCGGAGCTGAGAGGCTCAAGTCAAGGCACACCTGGAAGTGGGCACGTCTTTTTCCTGTCCCCTTCCTCTTCCTCCCCACAGTCCCCTCCCTTCCTGGCAGCCACAAAGAGAGCAGCATTTGTGTGTGTGTGTGTGTGTGTGTGTGTGTGTGTGTGTGTGTGTGTGCGTGACATTAGCTCCCACTCTGATGTCCTGGCTCCCTACAGACCTAAAGCAAGCAGACCATGAGACCATGGGCTGAAATCTCTGAAACTCTGAGAAAAAGAAGTCTTTCCCTTTAAGCTGATTCCTCTTGGTGTTTTGTCTGTGAGGCTAGCCTTGAGACAGGGTTTTGTGTATCCCAGGCTAGCTCTGAATTCAGTATGTGGCTGAGGATGGCCTTGAATTTCCGATCCTCCTCCCTTCCCCTCCTGGGTGCTGGGATCACCCAAGTACACCCCCATGTCTGGGTGATGTGGTGCTGGGGTGGTCCAGGGTCTCAAGCGCTCTACCACCTGAGTCTGGCGGCACCAACCCTACCGCTTGACCAGAACCTTTAGTGTGTGCCGTGGATGCCTCACTATGGAGAGCAGTGCCGTGCCGTTGGTCGCCAGGGAAAGAGTTCCTGTGCCATGGAACCAGGAAGTCCTGGCGTGCCTCCACAGCAGGGTGATCGGAGATAACGGCTATGTTGTGGGTTTCTCAGGAAGTTTTCTCTGGGGCTGACACTGAGTCTGGGGCAGGCCTTCCTGTCCTCTCCTGTATTCTCCTCAGCACTCAATCCCAGTCATCATTCCTTACAGCTCCGATGTACCACGGCATTACCAAACACACCATGGGATCCTCTATGGATTCACTTACA